CCATAGATCTATTTAAAAGAAGAATTAAATCATATTAGCGATAATTTGAAATAATGACATATACTAACAATAATAATAGTATTAAAATAAAAACTAAATTACATAACTGCCATTTTAAATTGAAATATATTACATAGTAACATTTGTTTCCTTATACAAAAACTAAGAATGCATAAATAATATATTAAAAAAAATTACATAACAATTAACAAATTACAAATTTTCTACCCTAAATAATAATAAAAAACTAATAAAGCATAAATAATTAATTAAAAAATTATAATACATAACAATTAAAAGATTACAACTCATTATTTACACCTTAAATAAATTAACTAATTTTCTAGCCTAATATTTCAATTCTTAACCCTAAATAATATTCATAATCTAAGAATGCATAAATAATTAACTAAAAAAATTAATACAAAACAATTAAATAGTTTAGACCTAACCATTTATGCGTTAAAAATTTAACAAATTTGCTAACCTAACGTTTCAAAAATCAAAACTAAATAATATTAAAAAATTATTACATCAAAAATAAAACAATTAAATAAATTAGACCTAACCATTTATGCGTTACATAAATTAACACATTTACTAACCTAAATTTTAAAATATCAACACTAAATAATATTAAAAAATTATTAAATCATAAATAATAAATTAAATAAATTAGAGCTAACCATTTATGCGTTAAATAAATTAACATATTTACTAACCTAAAGTTTCAAATATCAACACTAAATAATATTTAAAAATTATTAAAGCATAAATAATAAATTAAATAAATTAGACCTAACCATTTTTGTGTGAAATAAATTAACATATTTACTAACCTAAGGTTTCAAATATCAACATTAAATAATATTCAAAAAATATTAAAGCATAAATAATAAATTAAATAAATTAGACCTAACCATTTATGCGTTAAATAAATTTATATATTTACTAACCTAAAGTTTCAAATATCAACACTAAATAATATTTAAAAAATATTAAAGCATAAATAATAAATTAAATAAATTATACCTAACCATTTATGTTTGAAATAAAATTAACACATTTACTAACCTAAGGTTTCAAATATCAACATTAAATAATATAACACATTTATTAAAGAATAAATAATAAATTAAATAAATTATTAAAGCAGAAAAGTTAAATAAAATATGAACACTAACCTTTTAGAGAGAGAATATCACTTAGAGTGAGTGAGTGAGTGAGGGAGAGAGCGAGAGGAGATGGTGGGGGGAAGGAGGGGTTTAAATAGGCTGAAAATTGCACCAAGTTCGCTACCCTGTGTAGCGAACTTGTGCATGCTTGACACGTGACACACATGCACATTGTTGCAGGTGACCGTTGGGCATAATTCGCTACACAGTGTAGCGAATTATTATTGGCTTGACACGTGTCATAGGGCTGACTGTGCAAGGTTGACATCTTGTCCACGTAATTCGCTACACTGTGTAGCGAATTATATGGCCAATTAAGACATGCCACATTCGCACACATAATTCTCTACACAGTGTAGCAAATTATGTCACGTGGCATTTCGGGAATTTTTACTGTTGGCGTGGCAGTCTGGTAATTAATTTGGTGAACAGTGACAAAATGGGATTTGGATACCGGATATGTCTCCGAAGAATATCCGGATATGTGATATCTGGATATGTCCCCGAGGAATATCCGGATATTCTGGGATTTCGAAGAACAGTAGCTGCACTGTTCATACAGTAGGCTATTGGGGGTTTGTGGACCCTAGATTGATGAAGTCGGACTTCTGTAATAACTTAACTAAGTCAGAATCAAATTATTAAGGGCTTATGGCTTTGTGTGGAGCCTTAAGACGTAAATCGTAAAAGGAAAACGTAGTCTTTATGTTTATGCTTATGAGCTATGAATGTTGATATGTTTGCTGGTCCTAAATCGGATTGTGATCTGCTGTGTGTTGGACTTGAGCTGTGTGGACTCTTGGCTTGGATTGTTAGCTTGCAAGGTAAGCTTTCGTGTCCTCGGTTTAGCCATGTTGTTGTTCCTCCATGTCCCATGGGGGTATGGTTATATGCATGCTATGTTACATGCTTTGGATATTTTGAAATGCTATTGAGCTGTTATATGCTAGTGCCTTTATGATATGCATGTGGTGTACATCTATACGGTAAGCCTGAGTATGTGGTACATACAAGATGGTGAGGCTGTGGGTGAGGTGCAAGCGGTGTTCCTTGTACTACGTGTGGGTAATAGACGTATTCCTGCATTTCTCTGGCCAATTGAATAGTATTGACACGCATGGCATGAATATATGTTGCACTATATAGTTTTGGAACTGATATTGATATTACTGCTTTTAGAACTTATATCGCACATGTAAGTGAGCTTGGGGTGGAAGATCCTTGAGGACCCCTTGTCTTACTAAGATTTCTGGTTTAGAGATCTCACCCCACGTTTGGGGAATACTTATTTCAGGTTCAGGTAATGCGGGGGTTGAGACCTCTAGTGGCAGGAGGCCAGAGCTTAGCTGATAGATGTTGCATGTTTATGCTGCTATGTTTGATGCTGGATCCTGTTTAATGTCCTATGCTTTTAGCTTCAATTTATGGATTAATATGTTGAGACTTGGTTGATTATGGCGTTGATTTGACGAGCATGAGGATTGTCCATGCCACATAGACTCGTTTATGTCTTGTTTTAGTTGGAGATGTAATAATGTATCAGGATTGTTGTCCGGACTACGGGTAGTAGATCTGTGACTTAGATACCCACTTTATTATATTATGAGGTATTCAGTTAGCAGTCTTTTACAATTTACATACAAACATGATTTTATGAAATTGATTAAGTAATCAACTTGGCTAAGTATAATGATGTCATAATTGAAAAGAAAAAGATATTTCGCATTTTTAATTAAGCGCAGCTTAATACAATAGCATGATAACATTACCAGGTATACACGGGGTGTTACATTATCAAACACAGTTCTCATTCTCGGAATAAAAATAAAACATGTTATCAAACACATTTTTTTTCTCAGAAACTGTTCCAAAGCACAGAAATAGAAAAGAATTGTTTCTTTTCAGAAACAGTGCCAGGGAATAGAATGATTGTCATGTACACCCTTAAACTAGAAGGTGGTTGTATATAGTTTACCATTTTTTCATTAATTATTGGAGAATCTTCTCCACCTATTTATATCTCTCTTTAACAATTTCTACACACAAAATTTATAAATGTTACTTCGTGAAAATAATGCCTTAGAACTTAGACATCACTATTATATTTAGAGACTTCACCATTGTGAAAATCAAATCTCATCTCACCATCTAAATAGATCAGGTACCTCCATGGTGAGCATGGACAAGTATAGAATTTTTATTTTTTTAGTGCATACTTTTAAAACATTGGGATCAATATTTTTTTATAAGAAATAAAATTATCTTCTACACACAAATAAAAATATGTGGAGTCTAAGTGGAGCCATGTGAATATAAGAGAGAGAAAAAAAGAAAATATGGACACTATATACTTTTTTGTATACTTAGAAAATGGGAAAAATATATATCATTTTAAAGGATGTAAAGTTGTATCATTTTAAGTGAGAGAAATAGATAGATAAAGGAGGAGAGAGAGTGAACAAAAAAATATAAAAGTGTGAGTCCCACCTCTTTGTGAGAGTGAAATGACACAAGTTATGTCATTTAAAAGGACAAACACTTTTCCCTTAGAAAATATAAGAAATATTAATCCTTAAAACATTTGCCAATTAATAGAGGTGGCAAAATGGGTCAACCCGCCCCGACCCGCCTTCAACCCGTCAAAAGCAGGGCAGGGCGGGTTGACCCGCCGTTTGATGGTGGGTTGGAAACATTAACCCACCCCATTTTGAGGTGGATTGGCGGGTTAACCCGTCTAAAAAATAAAAAATAATAAAAAATTATATTTTATTAATTTTATTATATTACTTATTTTTATTTCACACTCCCCTTAATTTTTTTTCAATCTCAAGCCTAAATATAAGCTAATATTCAGTTAGATACTTTTTAGGAACTTATTTTTGCCTCTATATATGGATAATCTTTGTCATAAATAAAGTTTTTTTTCTTTATTTTTTTAAGGGAGTTTAAAAAAAAATGTATATCACAAAAGCTTAGTGACAAATAAAATACTACCTAATAGTAAAAAAAAAAAACTGACCTGCGGGCCTACCCGCCCCGACCCGCCACCAACTCATTTTGACCCACTACTAAATGGGGCGGGTTGGTGGGTGAAAAGGTGTAACCCAACCCGCCTCGTTTTGACGGGCTGACGGGTTGACCTGTCGGGTTCAACCCATATTGTCACCTCTACCAATTAACTATTGGATAAGATATTGTTATTACCAAATAATGTTACTACCAATTTTACTACCATATCTTAACCGTTGATTTACGCCAATCAACGGTTATTATTTCCACAAATCAAACTCATTAATTAATTATTAATTCACAATAAATAATAACCATTGATTGACGGAACTCAACAGTTAAGATATGATAATAATAATATTATTTGGTTGTAATAATATTATATAATTTTTAGAGTAAATACTAATTCGGGTCCCTAACAAAAACACATCCCCACATTAGTTCCTTACAAAAAAAATTAGTCGGCTGATTTCTATGAGATTAAAAGTGAATTCATTTTAGTCCTTTTGAGAGACTAATATGAGTTTTTTTTGAATTTGTGAGAGACCACGATTTTAACTAAATGGGTCCACTTTGAATTTCTTAGCGACCTCAAGACTAATTTTTTTGTAAAGAACGAAAGTGAGGACCGTATTTTTTATTAGGAACAAAATTAATATTTACTCTAATTTTTAATAAATTTTTTTCGTATATTCCATTCTCTGTTTAAAAGCGGGGACTCACTCTCATTTCACTCTCTCACTTTATTCCCGTCTCTCCCAAACGTGCGCGCTCAAGGTAATATTAATTAGAACAGTGGCATTGTGAATCGGGCAATGTGAACAAATGCTTGGTACTTTTTATTCTCGCTTGGGTTCTACTATGTATTGAAATTCTAGGGTTTAAAATCGGTTATGGTTCTACCATCTCATCACTGCGAACGCTCGCTGAACTTGGTTTCATTTTAAGCTCTCATACACAGCTCCCCATTCCTCTATTGGTTAAGCTGTGTCCTTTTTCTTCTTCTTTATTTTATTGAATTTAATCATTACTCGGTTCTTCACATATCATTTTTTTTTTTAAAATTTAATTTTGCAGTTTTTGAAGTTGAGATTCGTGTATGATCTTTGAAGGTTTTTGATTAGAAGATTTGTTTATATGGCAACGGCAACATACCCACCACCTCCACCTTATTATAGACTTTACAAAGATTACTTGCAAGATCCTAAGTCTGCTCCTGAGCCTCCACCACCGATAGAAGGGACTTACGTTTGTTTCGGAGGCAGTTACACCGTAAGAATTTTTGCCCCTTGTGATTTCTTTTTATTATATATTAGTTTTTCCTTAATCTGTTCTTGCTACTTCCGATCCAAACTGATTTGAGATAAATGTGATGATTTTGTTGTTGTTGTTATTGAAAGTTTCATTATGGCCCTAATTCCTGTTTGGATAAAGTAAACAGCTTATGTAAGTACTTATTTGATGAGATATTGATAAAATAAGCTATGCTATCGTAAGTGTAAGGGGATTTGAATAGGCATTTCCGGAGAAGCCTTATGCAGAATGGAATTTTAACTATTCATGAAGGTTAATTTGTTCAGAAATCATTATGTATTGTTACCGCTTTTAGCTTCTTTTGCACAGGCTTTTAGGTTGCGAAAAGAAACCCGAAACAGCTTATATGGGTTTCAAAAGCTGTTTGTTTAAATAAGTGTTCGTCCAAACGCAACCTTTATCTAGTTGGCTGGTATGCTGATTTTTTAGTGACTGGTTGAATTCAGGCTTGTGAAGTAGGGTTTCTTCTTGTAGGTTTGAGATGCAGTTTTCACAAAGTCTTTGTTTATCTATCTATGTGTTCTTATGATTGGATCTCTTTGGCGTGATAACATCTTATTAATGTTTTGTTTCTTTTTTTTATTTTCTATATAGACTAGTGACATTCTACCCAGCTTGGAAGAACAAGGGGTGCGCCAGCTCTATTCTAAGGGGCCTAATCTTGGTAGGCTATTTTTGGCTCTATCTATGCTCAGTTTGATTTGATGATGTTATGAAATGACCCTATAGGTTGTTACAAATATTTTTGGTTTTCTATTTTGTATTTCAATGTTCTCCTTACTTCGTTGATATTTTACTTTTTTTCTCATAAATACTTCTTTAAATTAACCTCGCTGGATTTGTCTTTCACATTTTCATTTGATAGTGATTCATGATATGATGACAAACATTGTAAACTAGGAGGTGATTGTACAGCCTAGAGTTACTGGTGAGCTTGATCTTTTGGGTAATATTAGTCTGATCGCACTGTGTGTGAGGAAGTACTTTATTGGTCATAAAAGTCACTAGTCTACATAATGTCTAGTAGAGAAATTTTTATCTGGATACAAAGTTTCATATCCTCTTGCTTCTCATCACTTGGTGTAGGGGATTTTGGTCTTCACGTGTTAATTTCAGTAATGAACTTTAATAACTCTTGCCACACTTTGAGGAGGTATGTTTATATATATCCCATAAGTGACATATAGAACATTGAATTCGTGATAGTGATTACTCTAGGTGATCAATGGTTGAGTTATTACTAAAGCGGACACTATTAGTTATCTTTTCCAAAATATAGTAATGATATGAATTTTCTTTCTTGCTTCATGAGGGCTGGTATCATTATAAACTCTGCCTTAACCTTTAAATGCTTCTGCTGATTCCCTGCTTAATAATGTACATAACTCACTTTTAGCTTGTATATGAACCTTTTGTTGCAACAAATAGGATACATTATAATATTGTTACTAAATGCTAAATCACATTTACATCAATTATTGGACATTGCACTTTGAGAACGAGGAATCACTAAGTTACTAACTTAGAACAGATACAATATCAATTTTCGCACGCAACAGGTTTTGAACTTGGGTAATGAGTCCCCTACGTCATAGGAAATTATATGACCAGTTGAGCTACTGCTTGTGATCTTATTTATTGCAACTTTAGTAGATTGGTTCTTCTACATAAATGATCACTACCCCAGAATGATATATACTACTTAAATCCATGCCATAAAGTGAGTGATTTTAAAGGGATAAAGGGTTCATAGTGTATTTTTTTCTTTCATTATCAGTTACCCTAGCATAACCAGTTACTTGTTTCTATTAATCTATTATATTTCATGTTATAGTAAAAGATTCTAATCTTCTGTAGATTTCAAGAAGGAGCTGAGGTCACTTAATGGAGACTTGCAACTACACATTTTGGAGCTTGCCGATATTCTTATTGAGAGACCATCACAGTATGCAAGGAGAGTTGAAGAAATGTCAACTGTATTCAAAAACTTACATCACCTTTTAAATTCACTGCGTCCTCATCAGGTATACAATCTTCTATTCAACCATTAGTATATATATATCCTTGTCTTTGACTGGCATGCTACTATTCTTTTCCCTTTTTCTGAATTTTTCATTTTATTATGTATTTACATTGTAGGCAAGAGCAACATTAATTCACATTTTGGAAATTCAGATACAGCGCCGTAAACAGGCAGTGGAGGACATAAAGAGGTATGTGTTACATTTCCTGATGTTTTCCTACATTGCATAGGAACCCTTAGGAGTCTTTTGCTTTGGTACCAGCATAGTGAAATGTCCTGTTCTATCATTTGATAGCCTTTGACAATGTTGTTGGTTTCGCATTTGTATCTTGCTTACTATCGTCAAATTGTATATTGATATAATTGTCTGAACCCTTGATTTAGTTCATTTAATGTAATGCTTGTAATTTTCATAGATGCACTTAATCCTCTAATTAGTTCTTTCCTTCTGGTTGTACCCACCACTCCCACAGTTCACATAAATCTTGTTTTTTTTCCCTTTCTTGCATAGGGCAACTAAGGCTTACATTAGAAGTTACTGAAATAGAATATATTTCTTTATAAATTCAAAATTAGCTGCTTTATTTATTTATTTTTATTTTTTTTGGAAGGCATCCCTTTAAATAGATTGATTTCCTTAGATAACATACGTAACCCCTTACAAATAGCCCATAATCTGTGAAGAGCCCTCCCATCTAGGCGTATCTTATTGTAAGAGTTAACTGACTATATCTCTTTGAAGTTTTATGCTCAAATGAATTTGAATATATCAAGTTTACAACATCTCATTGTTTCCCTTTCAAGTTTCAGCAACATATATGTTACCTTCTTGAACCCTTGGAAGATTAAAAAGTGCTGGAATTGTTAATAATGTAGCTAAAACTGACAATGGAGACGTTATCTGCTATTCCTATGATGATTTCTGTTGTAAATTTTTTCCAACAAAGTACATAATCGTTTTCAGTGTTCCTTGTTCTACTTTGACAACTAGAATTCGTAACATCACAATTTTCTTTTTTATAACTCTTAAATTTTAGAACTTATAAGACAATTCTGAATATATCTTGGTAAATTTTGTGTTCTGTAAAAATGACTCTAATTCTTTCGAAGCTTAATTGGTCTAAATTATAATATTTTACAGTTGGTCCACTTAAATGGGTGAAGCATAATTTCTTAATATATATAAGGTAGGGTTTTCGGCTTTTAGTATTATTTGTGTAGCTAGGGGACAGGTTAGCAGATTTGTCAACCTTTGTCTCCGTTGTTTATCTAGTTTTGCCTTCAGTAAAAATGGGCAGATATTGCATCTTATATAAATACTAGTACATAATTGGCATGAAATTTTGTTATGTTCTTTTCTATTAGAAGAAAAATTTTGTAATGTCCTTGTCATTAGTCTTTTCAATGCAAACTTACCTTTAATTTTCAGGAGGAGAGATGAAGCAAGAAGACTCCTTAACGAGTCCCTGGCGACACTGGATGGCCATTAGGGCATTCTCTATCTTGCAATCACAGTATGAAATCTAATGAGCAAATTAATCTTATAAGAGAAATGAATCTTGATCTTTAGATTTGTACAAAAGGTCAAAAGATTAAAACACGTTTGCAGCTTGTGCAAGATATTAGGACTATTTCTATCAGTGTATGAAATCTGAACTATTACTGTATACCCGTGACTTCCAGGACGAACTTGTCAGAATGTTCTTTAAATTATAACTAATTATGGGACGCTATATTTGTCAATTTCAATGTTAAATTTTTGTTACTAAAAATATTAGTTTCATCGTAAACACCCGGGAGAGGGCCATGGTTTCTTGGTGGGTATGGTACTTTTATGCATTTATTGAATGTTAATTTTATAGTATAATGTTTAAAAATCTATCAAATATACTGTCAATAAAATGCTTAATGGGTAATGGAGTAATGCCCAAAACATCAAGTCTGATAAATGTAAGTATTGGCCATTTAAAACTCCCACCCCCACCATCACCACAATTTCCCTTTGTTTCTATCATTTTGTTCTTTTTATCAGTGTTGAGGAGGTACCCAACCTGAAATTAATCTATGTACCATTTGAGTCTCTAATTCGTGGCCAATAAAGCCAGCCTCCTCCATAAAGATAAGTGCAGAAATCCTCGCTTCTTGAGAGAAGGATCCTGATACAGTTAAGGGAAGCTGCTATTAGTAGGAGCTTGAAGCCTACCCGTTGTTGATGGTCTTGTTGGAATATGCGCTGTTCTCGACTCCGATGCTGTAGAATTAAGAGTGCTCCTTTATGGAGTAAGGACTTTGTAACCATGTAATGGTGTGTCATTAGTTTACCTTACTTGAGTTAGTTTACTGCTTTGAAGGGAGTTAGTTAGCCTTGTAAAGGGAGGTGGCAAGTTAGTTAGAAACATGTGGTTGTATAAAGCTTTGACACATGGCTCATATGTGTCTTCATCTGAATAATAAACAAAAGTGTCTTCTGTTCTTCGTGTCCTGTTCTTAAGAGTATTGCACTCTTAACATTGGTGCTTTCATTCTTGACTCTCCGGTTGCAACATGCGGCTACAAGAGGTGGCAGAGGGACTAGGTTCCTTTCAACAGCGTGTTGATCGAACTTTGGAGGAGATTCAACAAAGGTTCACCGATCATCAATCTCAGTTCTTATCCCTCAACACTTAGTTACAGCAGATACATGCAGTCATCGTGGGTGGAGAAAATCGAACAGAGGAGCAAGTACAATATCGAGTTCAACCAGGTTCTTCGAGTACTGATACTGCTGGTGGATTACATGAACGATATGATCCAAATGATCCAAGGAACATCATGCGGTCTATTAAAATGGAACTTCCCTCATTTGTGGGTACAGACCCAGTTGGATGGATCTTTCGCACAGAGCTGTACTTTGGTCTGCATCAAATTCCTGAATCTTTGAAGGTTCGATTGACAGGGATGAAGATGGATGGCATGGCAGGGCCGTGGTTTCAATGGTTGTTCAATGGTGGTACCATCCATTCATGGGAAGAATTGAAGCTGGCTGTGAAACAACGATTTGGGGGTACAGCCTATACTGATTTGCGTGGAGTTTTGTCCAAACTGTCTTAGGTGGGAGCTCTTAATGAGTATATTAGGGGTTTTGAAGCTTTGATCAATCAAGTAACTGATTTCTCAGATGAAGTCTTGATGAGTTTCTTTGTTTCTGGTTTACAACCAGAATTAAAGAGAGCAATTCAACTTCATAGCCCAACCACTCTACATCAAGCTATGCAATTATCCATCACATATGAGGCTTATTTTGCTGAACTCAGGGGTTCTTTTACTTCTTATACTAACAAGAAGTACTTCCCTAAACCAGTTTCAATTGTGGAACACACCACTTCTGCAACTCCAGTGAAACCAGGATTGCCTGGATTACCTTCCTTATCAGCTCTACCTTCTAATGTTCTTGTCAAGAGAGTATCTCAGGAATACTTGCAAAAATGCAGAGATATGGGTCTTTGCTATACTTGTGATGACAAATGGACTTCCAAACATTGTTGCAAGGCTAAGCTGTTGATGTTGGTAGGGGATTGTGAGGAATTGGATGCTGATGTAGAAGAACAGATAGTGTGACAGCCAGATCAAGCTCAGTCAGAAATTCATGATGCTGCTCTTCATTCCATGGAAGGGGAACTAAATCCTAGAGCCTTGCAATTCCAAGTTTTAGTTGGGAAGAGGTTAGTTTCCATCCTCATAGATTCGGGTAGCACTCATAATTTTGTGCAAAAGAGCATTGCTGAAGATTTGGGATATCTTATGGTTAAAATTCCTAGGATGAGAGTATTCCTTGGTAATGGAGATTTTCTAATTTGTGAAAGGAAATGCCCATCAGTTTTTCTGGAGATACAAGGACACGTGTTTGTAGTGGATTTATGGGTGATTGAACTGTCCAACTTGGGAATTATTTTGGGAATTTTTTGGCTCAGTTCCTTGGGCAGGGTGATACATGACTACAGTGATATGTCCATGGAGTTTATTTGGAATCAGCAAAGGGTTATTTTATCTGGGGCTAGGAAGAAGATTGAGCCCAACAAGTCAGATGGTGCTTGTTCTTATTTAGCAACTTCACCAACTGTAAATTCTACTGATGCATTCTACTGGTGACATACCAATCTGTTTTCCAGTTGCCACAAGGTCTTCCTCCTTCAAGGGATTGTGACCATGCTATTCACCTGGTGGAAAGAGCTAGACCAGTAAGTGTGAAACCTTATAGGTATGCTCACATCAGAAAACTGAAATTGAGAAACAGGTGGCTGACCTCCTAGCTTCGTGTTTCATTAAGGCAAGTCATAGCCCCTTCTCTTCTCCTGTATTATTGGTAAGGAAGCAAGATAATTCTTGGAGGTTGTGTATTGATTACAGGGCTTTAAACAATATAACTATCAAGGATTGCTTTCACATTCCCACCATTGATGAGCTCTTGGATGAATTGAAGGGTGCTGAATTTTTTTCCAAATTGGATTTAAGGAGTGGTTGTCACCAAATTCGGTTAGTTCCACATGACACTCCTAAAACTGCATTTCGAACCCATGAAGGACATTATGAGTTTTTGGTATTACCATTTGGATTAACCAATGCACCATCAACTTTCCAATCAGCCATGAATCAAATGTTCAAGCCATATTTGAGGAAATTCATCATAGTCTTCTTTGATGACATATTTATCTATAGTTCATCTTTTCTGGATCATTTGGGGCATCTAAGGGTCACATTGGAATGCCTGCAGCAGAATCAATTCATGGTCAAGTTGAGCAAGTGTGGGTTTGCCTTATCTGAGATTGATTACTTGGGTCACGTAGTGTCAAGAGAGGGAGTGAAGGCAGATCCTAAAAAGATTACTGCCATGCTACTATGGCCTCAACCCAAGAATGTTAAACAACTCAGGGGATTCATTGGACTTACTGGCTACTAAAGGAGATTCATTCAACATTATGCATCTTTGGCATATCCTCTTACTGTCCTTCTAAAAGCTGATTCCTTTGCTTGGAATGATAGTGCTCAGGAAGCTTTCTGCTTTTTAAAAAAAGCTATGACTTCCACTCCCATTCTAGCACTACCAGATTTTTCCCTGCCTTTCATCATCGAAACATATGCTTCTGCCACAGGAATTGGAGCTGTGCTGATCCAACAGAACAATCCGATTGCTTATTTTAGCAAGAAGCTGGGAGCCAGGATGAGATTGGCTTCAACTTATGTGAGAGAGCTTTATGCTGTTACTGAAGCTATTAAGAAATGGAGACATTACTTATTAGGCTCCAGGTTTATCATCAAGACTGACCATAGAAGTTTGAAAGAACTTTTATCTCAGACCATTCAAACTTTGGAACAACAGAAATATATGTGTAAGTTGATGGGATATGATTTTACAATAGAGTATAAATCAGGAATCTCTAATATTGTTGCCGATTCATTATCTCGAAGGGATGAGGATGAGAAAACTCCAGGTAATGTTTTGTCCTTAATCACCCAAGTTTCATTTGATGTTGTTAATCAAATTAAGGATGAAAATACTTCAGATCCTGATCTGTTAGCATTACATTTGAAAATTACAAATGGAGAGCACATTGATTCCAATATCACAGAAAGGGGAGGAATTTTGTATCATAAACATCGATTTCTGTTGGGATCAGATTCTCAACTTTGCCAACTGTTGATCCATGAGGCTCATGCTACACCTGTTGGGGGACATGCTGGCATTACTAGGACCTTATTGCGTCTATCTGCCTCTTTTTATTGGGTCAACATGAGGAAGGATGTTACTGCCTTTGTGAAACAATGTTCAGTTTGTCAATTCATCAAAACGGCTACCACACCTCCTTTTGGTTTGCTCCAACCCCTGCCTATACCAGAAGGAGTATTTGAGGATTTGAGCATGGATTCTATTACAGGTTTGCCTCTTTCTAAAGGATTTTCAGTAATTCTAGTGGTTGTGGATCGATTAACCAAATTTGCACACTTTGGAGCTTTAGCTCACCCTTATACAGCAGCCAAGGTTGCTTCTTTATTCTGTGATATAGTTGTAAAACTTCATGGATTTCCAAAGTCTATAGTTTCTGACAGAGATAGCATTTTTCTTAGTCAATTCTGGTCCTTACTCTTCAAACATAGTGGCACCACACTTAGAACCAGCACCTCCTACCATCCACAATCTGATGGACAAACTGAAGTCACCAACCGATATTTGGAGCAGTACATCAGAGCCTTCTGTCATGATGAGAACAATAGATGGTCCTTTTATTTGAGTTGGGCAGAATTACATTACAACACTGCTGTGCATTCTTCTATTGGAATATCTCCTTTCCAAGCTTTGTATGGCAAACTACCTACCACGATTCCTCATTATCCTCAAGGTTCAGTTCGCGTGGAGGCTGTTGATGTCACACTCTCTCACAGAAATGAGTTGCTGCACAATTTGAGGAAGCATTTGCAAGAAGCTCAAAACAGGATGAAGATCCAGGCTGATAGGCACAGGAAGGACATCACCTTGAATGTAGGTGATTTAGTTTTGGTAAAACTTCAACCATATCGACATATTTCTTTGGTTAAGAGGTCTAACCAGAAATTGGCCAAGAGATATTTTGGTCCCTTTCCTATTACTAGAGTCTTGAGCCCAGTTTCGTATCAGCTCCAGTTACCTGATGGATGCAAAATTCATCCTTCCTTCCATGTTTTTGTTCTGAAGCCATTTAGGGGCGATCACAAAGACCTGGTTCCTACCTTTCCCATACTCACTCATGGCAATTCTCCTGTTCAACATCCAATAGCTGTGTTGATGTCTCGAATTGTCAGCAACAAGACAGAACAAAAATGGCAATGGTTGATCCAGTGGTCTGATGCCTTACCCGAAGATGCTACATTGAAAGATGAAGCAGATTTGAAGTTGCATTATCCGGATATGAACCTTGAGGGCAAGGTTCCTTTGCAAGGAGGGACGAATGATACAGTTAAGGGAAGTAGAATCAAGAGTGCTCCTTTATTGAGTAAGGACTTTGTAACCATGTAATGGTGTGTCATTAGTTTACCTTACTTGAGTTAGTTTACTGCTTTGAGTTACTGCTTTGAAGGGAGTTAGTTAGCCTTGTAAAGGAAGATGGCAAGTTAGTTAGCTTAGGTGACAAAGTTTGTTAGAAACATGTGGTTGTATAAAGCTTTGACACATGGCTCATATGTGTCTTCATCTGAATAATAAACAAAAGTGTCTTCTATTCTTCGTGTCCTGTCCTTAAGAGTATTGCACTCTTAAGGGTTAAGATCCCCAACACGATGCGAAAATGTTATAATATAATTTTCATTACACAATAACATCTCCGGATTAGTTACAAATGGTCCCCAACACGATGCGAAAATGTTATAATATAATTTTCATTACACAATAACATCTCCGGATTAGTTACAAATGGTCACGCTGAATCCATAAACAACTAAAAGATATTTACGTTTTTTGGCTTAGATCAAATACGAACTTAGCATCTCTCACAGTAAAGCCAAGATGTTCTAGAAGATTAATGAAAACTATAAGCTTAACTCTTAAATATTGAGTACAATTTTTTTATTTTATATATTCACTAATTCACTGATTATCCAATTAATTCGATTCAAGTATTCTGGAATTTATATCCCAAAATTATTTGTTTTTTTTATTCTTAAACTCGAATAATAAAGTCAAACTACTTATCAATTGAGTTAGATATGTCATTTTGAGCTTAACCTGAGTTGGCGCGTTTTAATGCCTCCGACCTACGTTCCATTTGGTTCGGGATAAATTTTTTTTTACTAAGAAAATGTAATTAATAGGGAAATAGTTAGAAAGTGAGTTTGGTAGGAAAATGTAAAAAAAGTTGTTTGGTCTTATAAAAAAAAAAAAAAAGTTATTTGGTTGACCCAAATATTACTAGGGAAATTTATTTAAATATGCAAAATTTATGTTCGGGAGAAACTTTGCACCTGTTTTTTCACTTCCCCAGTTATCTCAAAATACCACATCTCAAGTGGTATGTGAATTTCATCCAAAAATTAACACAAAAGTCATTTTCCCATCTATCCTATTTGCCTGATATTTTTTGAAAAAACTTAGAACCAAACGTGGTATTTTTTAATATCCAGTTACATTTTCCCATTAATCCCAAAATAAACCTTCAACCAAACACTAACCAAAAAAAAAACATATATCACGTGATGAACCTGTGCGGCACGCAAATCTTGACTTAAAAAAAAAAAAACTGAAGTTGTATAAGCTCTCTGCGCTCGACGACCTTTGCTTGACCTCTATGCCCTATGGCCACCGCCGAGCCAATTCAGAACGGCACCGCCACCGCCTTAGAACCACTCCCTCTCGACATTGCGGCGGCGGAAGCTGACACCGTCACCGCCACCACTCCGGCTGAGAAGAGATGGCCAGGTTGGCCTGGGGACTGCGTGTTTCGGCTCATCGTACCGGTCGGAAAAGTTGGAAGCATCATCGGTCGCAAGGGAGAGCTCATCAAGAAGATGTGCGAAGAGACTCGAGCTCGTATTCGCGTTCTCGACGGTGCTGTTGGCACTCCTGATCGAATTGTATGTGGATCTCATCTAATCTCTTTCTCTCTTAGGGTTTTGCTTCTTTCTTTTAAATTTCCTTTTTAGGTCTTTCTTGCTGGAATAAGCATAAAAAATTGTATACCAAAAACTTTCGTTCTATCTTCACTACTTGCTAGGTTCCCTTTCCTATGATTCACATGTCATTGTGCTTTTGGTTCTCTTGTTTATGAAGTGGAATTTGTTTTGCTTTACTACTTTTAACGTAACTTTAATTTTTGTGTCAGGTTTAATTTTTCTTTTGATTGCGCTTTTCAGTTTCGACTGTGTTTATGCGTTTCTCTCATCAAATGTGTGTGTGTTGTAACTGGTGTTATATTTTGGTTTTACGTTTGTTTTCATTGTGCAACTTCAATTTTATCGTAACTTCGTTACTTCATGTGTCATGTCCTTCATTTGCTGTCATCGTCTTGCTTTCAATTCTAGTTTCATTTGGACTATAAGTGAGGCCTCTACATGGTTACTCATAAATGGTAATGTGTTATATGCCTAGAATGTCATTTAGATTCCTTTGAATCTAAAGTGAATGGAAGTTGACTGTAGTTCAGTTGTTTTGTGTGTTGCTTTACAGTGTTTAACTTAGATGAGGACCTTTATTTACTTGTGTATCTGTTTCTGTTTGATACTGAATGTGGTTAGATTTTTATTTTTTATTTTTTTTGTAGGTACTCATATCTGGGAAGGAAGAGCCAGAGGCAGCTCTTTCCCCTGCAATGGATGCTGTAATAAGGGTATTCAAACGTGTCTCTGGATTATCCGAAACTGATGCTGAGAATAAAGAATCTGCTGGGATTACATTTTGTTCCATCCGTTTATTGGTGGCATCAACACAGGCTATCAATTTGATTGGAAAGCAAGGCTCATCAATCAAATCTATACAGGAGAGTACTGGTGCTTCTGTTAGAGTATTGTCAGGAGGTATGCTTCCTGTCCCACTCCCATTATCCTATTATAAATTTATGATGATCCCTCTGATTCCTTGTAGTAATTACTGATATCTTGTGTATCCTTTCTTATGTTGACTAATTTATGTGAATCATAGTTGTTAATCCTAGATAGTGGTGCGACCACAAAGATGCTATAGCTGTGTAGCTGATCACGTAGTGGCCACTACATCAAAATAAAAAATATAATATAAATAGTTTTTAACACACACAGTAGATGCTCAAAACTTAAAAAAAATAAACACAAAAAAATAGACACATATATCATTAATTGTTTAATACTTAAAAATCATAAAAGACGCGATCATCAATAATCTAAGCATAACTATTAACAATAATCATCAATAATCTAAGTCTGCAAGACAACAAAGGTGGAAAAACTGCAAAAACAGAAAGAGAAGTTGTGAACCAGAGGAAAAGTTGTGGACTGCCAGAACTCTGCCGGTAAGGCAGCAGGCTTAGGTCGAACACAACTGGGCTGTCATGATTTGGCCAAAAAAATGGAAACAGAGACATGCGAACGGAGGCGTGAACTATATAAACTTGGACAAAAAATGGACTTGTTTGGCTGGAAAACACTAACCCCTGCCGGGAGGGAGAATTGGAAATAACATTGGAGAGCAAGACTGTGACACCCCAAATTTATAACAATTTATAAAACAATCTTATAATAAATAAATTGTCAAAATTCATTTTTTTTTTTACAATTATAATAATAGAAATATTGCGGAAGCTAATCTAAATCCAATTTGAGGAATGTTACCGCCGCACCTGTACAATGGATAGGTGCAAGGCTAAATTTATTACATTAAAATAAAACCAAAGACTAAAGTTTAAATAAAGAAAATATGTCTTATGCATTTATTTAAATCTCATAAATTTCTAAACTTAGAAACTAGCTAGAAATATCCGAGTCGTGATCCTCACTGTCCACAGCTAGCCCCATCCTTTGCAACACCCAATAAAATTTCATACACAACAAATCTACAACCACCTAGAGATTAGGATTACACCAAATAAAATTTCATACACAACAAATCTACAACCACCTAGAGATTAGGATTACACCCAATAAAATTTCATACACAACAAATCTACAACCACCTAGAGATTAGGATTACCTGGTCTCCTTGTTTGGTGACTTCTACAATTTGGGGAAGAGAAGCGGTTGGTAACCAAAGAAAAATAATAATAAAAATAAAAATTTGAAGTGAGGAGAGAGAGAGTGTAAAGGAGAAAAAGAGTAGTGGAGAATTATTGAGGATTCAGAGTGAATTGGTTTGGTCAGAGTAAGCCTCTATTTATAGTTGAAGTTTTGGATTCAGATATGGGTTTCGTGCATTTATTTCTTTATTCCTCATTGATGTATCTGGATCAAATTTTGGCTTTATACATTATTTTCTTATTAATTTCTTATGGCTCAGATTACAACTAACTTATTTGCTAACTCAAGGCTGACTCATGATTGACTCATCATATCTAATCAAATTACCAATCAACATTACCAATCAATCATTATCAATCAAATATTACCAATCAATCATTACCAATGAATCATTAATGCTTAAATCATCAATCAATTAATAATCCAATTAATTACAATTTATCATCTAATATATATATATATATGTGTGTACATATTAATATTATTTTATTATATATAATCTAGAGTATTACAAAGTATCAAAATCATTTTCCAATAGCACTCATATCGCACAAAATAATTTTATCAAAAATAAAAATTAATATTATATTTTGTTATCTATCACCATATATATATATATCATTATTACTAATTTATAGTTTATTATTATTATTATTATTATTATTATTATATTAATAAAAATATGGGGTATTACATTCTACCCTCCTTATAAGAAGTTTCGTCCTCGAAACTTAAAAGTTTGAGCTCCTCAAATTAACTAAAAGACATAAGGTTAAAGTTAATAAAAATATGGGGTATTACATTCTACCCCTTTAAAAGAAGTTTCGTCCTCGAAGCTTAATTTTTTTTTTTTGAAACCCCCTAAAAAAAAGTAAGCAAACAATAAAGAGTCATGCATAACCAAACAAACAAGACAACATAGAATACAATAAATTTAAAACACTACAAATTAATAAATCGTTAACTTTAACTAAGCTAGAAAAAAAAAGTTTCGAAAATGAATATTTTCTTTAAACAAATAGAAATTTTTATTGCATATATTATCTTTCATTTGCTAGAAAATTTTTAATCAATTCCAGAACAACTCTAAAAGAAAGCTAATTACTTTTAATAAAATAAGAACGAGTTACTAAAGATAACATATAAAAATTTTAAAAAATAATATCAATAATAATTTTAAATCACAAAATAATTCCAAACATATAATCATCAAAAGTTCAAAGAAATAAAACATATTTAAAGGACAAGAAAAATAACCCTTCACTACCCATCTCTCTCGATTTATTTATTTATCTTATGTCCTATTATTTTATTTCCTAATTTTTTTTTATTTAACTCAGGGATCTTTGATCCCTCGAGTCAATATCAAAAGCAAACCCCAGCCGCAACCAGGGGCTCTGATACCATTTTGGAACACCCCAAATTTATAACAATTTATAAAACAATCTTATAATAAATAAATTGTCAAAATTCATTTTTTTTTACAATTATAATAATAGAAATATTGCGGAAGCTAATCTAAATCTAATTTGGGGAATGTTACCGCCGCACCTGTTCAATGGACAGGTGCAAGGCTAAATTTATTACATTAAAATAAAACCAAAGACTAAAGTTTAAATAAAGGAAATATGTCTTATGCATTTATTTAAATCTCATAAATTTCTAAACTTAGAAACTAGCTAGAAATATCCGAGTCGTGATCCTCACTGTCCACAGCTAGCCCCATCCTTTGCAAGACCCAATAAAATTTCATACACAACAGATCTACAACCACCTAGAGATTATGATTACACCCAATAAAATTTCATACACAACAAATCTACAACCACCTAGAGATTAGGATTACACCCAATAAAATTTCATACACAACAAATCTACAACCACCTAAAGATTAGGATTACACCCAATAAAATTTCATACATAACAAATCTACAACCACCTAGAGATTAGGATTACCTGGTCTCCTTGTTTGGTGACTTCTACAATTTGGGGAAGAGAAGCGGTTGGTAACCAAAGAAAGATAATAATAAAAATAAAAATTTGAAGTGAGGAGAGAGAGAGTGTAAAGGAGAAAAAGAGTAGTGGAGAATTATTGAGGATTCAGAGTGAATTGGTTTGGTCAGGTTAAGCCTCTATTTATAGTTGAAGTTTTGGATTCAGATATGGGTTTCGTGCATTTATTTCTTTATTCCTCATTGATGTATCTGGATCAGATTTTGGCTTTATACATTATTTTCTTATTAATTTCTTATGGCTCAGATTACAACTAACTTATTTGCTAACTCAAGGCTGACTCATGATTGACTCATCATATCTAATCAAATTACCAATCAACATTACCAATCAATCATTATCAATCAAATATTACCAATCAATCATCACCAATCAATCATTAATGCTTAAATCATCAATCAATTAATAATCCAATTAATTACAATTTATCATCTAATATATATATATATATATGCGTGTGTACATATTAATATTATTTTATTATAAATAATCTAGAGTATTACAAAATATCAAAATCATTTTCCAATAGCATTCATATCGCACAAAATAATTTTATCAAAAATAAAAATTAATATTATACTTTGTTATCTATCACCATATATATATCATTACTACTAATTTATAGTTTATTATTATTATTATTATATTATTATTATTATTATTTTATTAATAAAAATATGGGGTATTAGAAAGACTCTGGGCAGCTGCTGGTTTTTTGGGGTTGCTAGGTTTTATTGATGAATGAAGGGTTTTTCATCGTAAAATGTGTCGGGCTAAAATTTGGTTATGAAATCTCGATTTTATCCCTCAAAATTGAAAAAGAAAAAAACTAGGGATTAAGTTTGGGCAAAATAGGAACTATGGCCCTCAAGAAGAATAGCAGATAATATAGTTGTGATTTTGCCTGTGAGCAGCTGCGTTTGCAGCCACTGTCTGGGCAACTAAAAACGCAATACAAATATCTTCCAAGAGCTATTGTTGTCCGCTATGCCGTACGCTGCCACAATTGCAGTGCAATTTGCGGCTATCGAGTATTGACTACTCTGATGTGAAGCATGCTGAATTGTATCTTTTGACACTGGTATTTGAGCTGGTTTTGTATGGAAGGTCATTGAAATGAGATTTGTCTTCTCAATTATTTACTTTTTAGATGTTGGGGTGGCATAGTTATTAAACGCGGGTAGCAGCCGACTCCAAAAACTGCTATGGTGCTATATGTTGGGGTGGGCATAGTTATCAAACACGGGTAGCGGCCGACCCTAAAAAATGCTATAGCGCTATAGCATAACAACAAAGTTTAAACCTGTTATATACTTATATGGATATACTACACATATAAATGCTAAAAAATAAAGACATTCATTCGTAATTAAATATATTATCACTATCATTCCAAACAAGAATTCAAGGAACATAAAAGGAAGCAACAAAACTGCATTGAAGTCTTCTGGTCATTGGCTGCCAGCATCAATTTGGTGCTGACTAGCTGTAACAGAGTTGGCTGGGTAAATTGCAGGAAAAACACAAGAGAGAAAAAAAAAGATTCTAGGCAATGTGGCTTCAAGGGTTGGCTGCAAAAATTTGGAATCCAGCCAACGCAGAAGAGATAAGCCACCGGAAGTTGATGGGTCTGCCATTATAAGGGTGAAGGGTAGAGAAAACAGAGTCAATTCAAGAGAGGAGTGAGTTGCCGGGTGGGTGCTTGTGTTTCGACATTTCACATCCGCACATTCAGCCTAACATTTGTAGATTAAGGGCTTTTTATTTAATGATAAGTGAGTTCCTTGAACTAAAAGGGGAGGGAAGAACAACAGATAAAAATAAAGAGAATATACAAGTGAGTTCCATGAAATTAAGACAGCGGAAAGGAGAAACTCTACTCTAGTTGGGTAGTACTAGTTTGTTACAATTTTAAGAACTATCGGATTTTGGTTAGGAAAGAAGTAAAGAGAGAAAGATCGCTCAAGGTAAAGTATAATTGAATAGATGTAATGTGTTCCAATACCATAACCTAACACTCTGGTTTATACTAATAATTAGATGAAGTATTCTTACTACTAGTACAATCCCAAGCCCATGGACCATAAGTTTAATAACCTAATTGAATAAGGAAACAAATCAAGAAAGATATCCCCAATATATTCTCACAGTGTAATTTTGTGGCCAAGAAAGAAATGTCCAGTAACTATTAGAGTTATGTTATTTGTATCAATCATGTAAAAGCAAATGCTTTAGTTTTATATGAGAATATGATTATTCCACTTTCCAGTAAAATTTGTTTTTAATGCTTTTGTCTTATTGGATCTGTAATCCCTATCCTATGGTTAGCATCAACTTAATATATTAATTTCTTTGTATCCATCAACATACGTGTATTATGAAGAGACATTGTTGATAGGTAAATTTAATTATGCCCACAACTTATGTATTTTTCGTTGTAATCTGCATACAAGTAAGCTTCACCTTGTTGCTAGAAATTTTCTTGTGGCTCTATCCTATACTTTTGAATAATAATTACAGTTTCCGGATTAAAATAAGACCTCTTCCAGAATATTTCATGCAGATGCCTGGTAGGACCCCTTAGTCTAACTAGACATTTCTTTAATTTCATTCTCCTTGTTAAAGTTGGATGCAACGGTACTAATGTTTATGAATGTATCTTTTCCCTTCTTCCATCAAAGCATGGCACTCCAATTAGCATGCTGTCATTTAATCTATAATATATTATTTTAATGCAAATCATTTTCATGAAGACGAGGTGCAACTTTATGCTTCCACGGATGAGAGGATTGTGGAACTGCAGGGAGAAGCCTTGAAGGTCCTTAAAGCTCTGGAAGCAGTAGTTGGCCATCTGAGGAAGTTTTTGGTTGATCATAGTGTTCTTCCCCTATTTGAGAAAACTGTAAGCTTGTTATTTGCCAAATTTCTAATTAGCAAAAAATATATATTTTAGGGTTTCTATCTGCCCTTCAACTTTCTATGGGATAGGATTGTGCATGGCCTCTCTGATTTTCTGCTGATGGCTGTTTCAAGGGAGTTTCCATTTCAGATATGCATTGAGATTGGAAAGCTTTACTGCATCTTTAATTTTTATACTTCTCAGATGTGTTTTGCTTTTTATGTTTTGGAGGATTTCTTATCCTTCTCATATATGTACTTTCCGCGCTCTTTTTTGTTTTTCTGGTAAATTTTCTTTTACATATAAAATAGTTTGGTTTTAAAGTTCATACCAACATATATTCTGTGTTGGACTGCTATTTTATTTTATTGATTAGATGAATATCATCTAAGAAAATGAGAAATATATTATTTTCTGGTTTTTATTGTATATTTACACCATTATATGTGAATTCTCTGTGTTGTTGTAGTACAATGCGCCAATCTCACAAGACCGACAAGCAGAGGCTTGGTCTGACAAATCATCGCTGCATACTACTTCACAAACTAGCATTTTTTCTGATATTCCTCTTTCAACGAAAAGGGATACTGGCTTTGCTGATCGCGAAAGTGAGTTGGACTCATTAATTCCTTCCTCCACTTTGTCTCACTATGGGCAAGATTCTTCGCTTTCTGGTGTTCGCTCTTCTGTTCTGAGTCGTGTTCATGCTCCTATTGTTACTACGGTTAGTTATTTTTACCACTCCCATATTTTCCATGTATTGGTTCACATGAAATTTCCTTGAGAATTAGACTGATGTCATTGTTTGCCTCTATTTTGTCAAATTTTACCAGTAGTATCAAAAGAATGTATATTTCATTGTTAGATATGAAACCATTTATGAGTTTTCACCCTTAAGCTTTTGAGATAATTAGTTTTGGATATGGTAATAAAGTCTTTTTTATCAAGTGGTCGAGAGTTCAGTTCTTGTTGCTCCTTTTTTCAAAATAAAAGTTGAATTTAAGTACGTGGTAGGTGAGTAGGGTTTTTGCGTGAAAGGTGGTGTTAGATACAAAATTATCCATCACCATTCACCCAACAACTGACAATTATAATTACCTAATAGGTTTTTATGTAGGCTTTTTTCTTAAAAAAATTATCCATCACCATTCACCCAACAACTGACAATTATAATTACCTAATAGGTTTTTATGTAGGCTTTTTTCTTAAAAACATTTTACCGGTCTATATTTTGGATTCCAAATGACATTAATTTGTGGCTTATTTTACCTATACTCCTTCACCTCTTAATCACATGATCATCTGGCTCTAGGCCAATTTATTATCTGTGTATTTAAAGTTTGTCACAGCCTATAATGTATGTCAACTTCTTGTGCTGTGAGCTGAAAGTATTTAAATGTTTTCTCGTACTTCACTCTTCTTTATGTTTTGTTTATTTATCTCTTCTGTTGATAGTCATGGTACCCCTCCCTCTAATCGTTTCCACTATCAGGTAATACAAACGATGCAAATACCGCTATCCTATGCTGAGGATATTATTGGTATTCAAGGGAGTAATATTGATTACATTCGACGCGCTAGTGGAGCCATTTTGACTGTGCAGGAGAGCAGGGTGCCTGATGAAATCATTGTGGAAATAAAAGGCACCTCATCTCAGGTTCAAATGGCACAACAATTGATTCAGGTAGGAGACTTCAGAGGGCCTTTTCTTCTAGGAAAAAGAAGCAATTGTTTTCTGCTTCTGTTCCTCCTGTATGATTGTCAGATATGCATAAGCATTTGTGCATCCTTGGATAGGGTGGTAGTTAGTATCAATACATGAGAGGTTTTTTCTTTACATATTTCTTTTCTAGTTGCTCATTTTGTAGCTATTAGCGCTTCACTTGCTATAATGTTTTAGGAACACTCACTATTACTTGATTTCCTCACCCTAATGTTCTGGCTAAAAACTTTTATCACTTAAATTTTTACTTGATAGTGCAATATGAGGGTTGAAGGAAAGGTAGAAAGGAGAATGAAAAGCAAGACAAAATAAATTCAATCCTGTTTATAGGGAAGTAGGAAATGCAAGATGATTTCAAGTGTCCTTTTAGTTCTTTATATATGTAAGAGTAGAAGCCAGATGAAAGAATGGTAATTTGATTCATAAATATCTCTATAAACTTATGTGGAACATTTTTAGTGGACATCTTATTATATGACTATTTTGTTTGGAAGTTAGTAGTTGGGTTTTCCTTTAATTGGACCTGAATAGGCTATCCATTGGAACTTATTTTTGGCTGTGGCGGATGGGATAGGACTAACTTATCAAAGATAGTATCCATTCATGAAGGGAATATATTCATGCACTTGACAAAATTGAGCATAAGATGTGAATTTTTCACCTTGTTTTTTGTTGACAGACATGAGTAGGGTACTTACCACCAGGGGTATAATTCGTAGTGGAACAATTGATTAATTTTGCTTTTCCTGACAGAAATTCCTTCCTGTGTTGCAGGAAGTCATAAGCAATCACAAAGAACCTGTCATTAGCAGTTACGGCAGGTTAGATGCAGGTCTGAGGTCTTCATACCCTCAGTTGGGCAGTACATCACGCTTCTCATCTTCATTGTCCTCACAGCCGCACACAGGTTATGGAGCTTCTGGGTTAGGAGACTACAGTACTTTCAGACTTTAAATTGGTCGCCCTATATTCAAGGGTACTCCATTTGAACTAGTTTCTTCCTAATTGGGTCTGATTGGAGAGGATTAACGCTTGAATGTATTATGAAGCCTCAGAAAAGCACTTTTTATGTCATCTGATATCTCCTTGTGTCGTGAGTAATTCTCGAGGTGGCCAATAGTCCAGAATTGCCATAGAAAATGTAATGAAATATTAGCGATTTTAATTATGTTTGTTTTGTTGTGTAAATGCTCATGTGAAGCTTGAGTATTCTGTTATTTTAGGTTTGCAGTGCCAAATACTGATACTTTTTTGGCACTAACTTTTTTTTTTTTTACTTAATATTCTGTTATTTTAGGTTTGCTTTACCAAATACAGATACTGTTTTTTGGCACTATCATTGTTTATATTTGGGTCCCTTCATTGTTATAGAACTAGCTGTGTAGTAGATGCACTCGGGTGTAAATATATCTTCTCAAAACTCCTTGGAGGACTAGCGTTATTCCTGTATTCCATAAACACAATTGGCCATTGGTTTCCTCACGAGAACAAAACTTTTACTTCATCTCATGTATGTTAATAAGCATTGGGAAATGGGATGATATGTTAAACTGTGTTCCGCGGTTCGCTCAGTTAACTTGATGTATTCGATGCAGAATTGCGTCAGAATTATTGGCATCATATCATACCTTTTCTTTAGGTGGCGTTTGGTTCGTGAGTTGTGTAAAAATTTTCAGCTAAGTGCATATGGCATTGTCAATTCTCTCAGTTTGGTAGAAGGAAAGAACAATTTTACCCATCAAACACAGTTTGCCTAGCTATTAACAAATGCATGTAAAAAAGCTACAAATACACTGTTAGGATGTGTTTGGTATAGGTTTTATTTTGAGTTTGATGGGAAAGTGAGAGTGAGTATTGAGAAATGCCATGTTTGGTACAAGTTTGTAAAAAAAATACTAGGAGATTAGGAAGCATAGGAAACTCTTTTTGTGTTATTTTTGGGTGATTATTACCGTTCCAAAAACCCATTTGAGATAATAAAAATTTTAACAGAATCAATGGGCTTTGCTAGGGCTTCGGGGGGAACTGGTATCTCCGAGGAGAACACTGGTGACATGCAATCGATTGAAGATGATGACTTGCTGAAAAGAAGCGTCGAGAAATCGAAGGTGGATGGAACAAGTGAGGAAACAATGGTGGATGGAACAAGTGAGGAAACAATGGTGGATGCTGGAAAAGCTGATGCAGCAGTAGTAGAAGAAACGGTGAATACAGACAATTATGAGAAATGCAACTCCAAAGAAACCTCTCTGATAAGGAAAATGGTGACGTATAAAGACACCCTTATCCAGTTTAATGGAGCTAGAGGGGAAGAAGAGGAAGAAAAGCACTGGATGGCTCAACAGATGAGAGAAGAAGAGGAAGAGGAGGAATTAGATGAAGAGGCGGCGAATGCTGAAGATGACCCCTTTTGTCCTTCTTTCAGAGTACCAAAGGAGGTCCACAAAGAAGCTTGCAAAAATGGAGAAATGCTTTGATAGTGAAGCTTCTAGGTAAGAGGTTGAACGTCAAATTCCTCCTGGGTAGGCTGCTGAAAATGTGGAGCATATCAGGGGCTTATGAGTTCATAGACTTGGAGAATGATTACTTCCTTTTCAGGTTTATGGATGAAAATGATTATATTCATGTTCTTCAAGATAGTCCTTGGATTATTGCGGATCACTATGTAACTATTCAAAAGTGGAGATCTATGTTCGACCCATATGACGAAGCCCTTAAAAACTCGCTATCTAGATCAGGATACCAGGCTTGCCAATTGAATTGTACACATCCCATATTTTGTGGAGCATAGGAAATATGTTTGGAAGATCCTTGGAGATAGATAAAAATTCTATTAGCAAGACTGAATCCAATGTGGAAGAGGTTACAGAACGCGTAAAATTTGCACGTATATGTGTGGAAGTTGATCTCACCTAGAAGTTCCTGTCGAAATTTAAGATAGGAAATAGAACTTTTCATGTCGCTTACGAAGGCTTGCATCTCATATGCTTTGGGTGTGGTAGATACAAGCATAGGAAGGATCTCTATCCGGAAGTGCAGGATAAAGGATCAATGGAGGGAAACAAAGGAATCAATACTAAGGCTCCAGGAGTAAACATAACGAAAGAATGCGAAACTCCAGCAAAGGAACCTTTTGGGGAATGGATGATTGTCCAGCAGCCAGCAAGAGGAAGAAAAACCAAAGAGGTTCAGCAAGTTCGCGAAGAAACAAGAGGTAAACATAAGATGAACAGTGTAAGAGGTGACAAGACAAAGCAGAGGGGTAGCAGCGATTTTCCCAAGGATCATGCAGCCAAAGCCACTGGCTCACGATTCGATAGTATCAGAGAGACAAATGAGGTACTTTCACCGAATGATAAAAGGCTAGTGTCAGAGACGGCGGTGGCAGAAAGTCAAATAGATATCACTCAAAGTGTGGCCCCACAGCCTGAGGTCAGTGCTTTTGTGAAAGTCCAAAGGCTTGAAAAAGAAGGAACCCAGAAAACCAAAAGCCTAAAACTCAACAAAAATAGGCCTATCAAACTTAGGCCTGAACGAACAATCAGCAAACCAACCCAAAAGTCTAACATGGCCACCAAAAAATCCCTTTCAGTATCCAAAAGTTTGAAACAGATTGCCTCAATGGGTAACGTCAAAGAAATCCCATTAGTCTCAAAAGGGGTGAAGCAGTGTGAAGTTCCAATCAAGGAAGCAAAGCAGAATGTCAACCCGGATGGTAAGTCTCTGGATGCTCTGGAATTGATGAGAAGATTCTCTCAGACAGCAGAAGGGAAAGAAGTTGATGAAAACTTGTTTACCCTGGGTGGTATAAAGGTCTTCTCAGAGATCAAAAAGTAACTTGTCCTCGGATGGGTTCGCTGAGTTACATTTTTAATATGTTTTTTATGTTAGTGTGCACTTGGAACGTGAGGGGAGCAAGCAAGAAAGGTTTGACCCCCCTTATTCAAGATATGACAAAAAAGTTTAGAATTAAGGTTCTGTGCCTTATGGAAACTCGAATTAGCGGAGAAAAAGCTAAAAGGTGTATTTCCAAGTTGGGTTTCAACAATCATCATATCCAAGAAGCGGTTGGATTCTCATGAGGCTTGTGGCTCTTATGGAACAATGAGGAGGTGAAAATTAGTATTCTCTCCTCTCATCATCAATTTATCCATACTTCTTTGGTTTGGAAAGAGTCTAGAAAAGAAGAGATGATAAATTTCATCTATGCTAGTCCGAGGTGCATAGAGAGAAGAACTCTCTGGGAAGGCCTTCAGGATCTGAGTATTAGCAATCATGATGCCTGGCTAACAATGGGAGATTTGAACTCTTATCTTAACATAGAGGAAAAGACTGGAGGCCCTGAACCTAATTGGGCTTCGATGAAAGATTTTCAGAACTGTTTGGATGAGTGTAACCTTTCTAACATTGGGTTCAAAGGACCTAAATATACTTGGAAGAGGGGAAAACTATTTGAGAGATTAGACAGAGCTTGTAGCAATGAAAATTGGAACCTGAGCTTTCCCAACAGGTTTCTGTCTCACCTCCCCTTTTATAGCTTTGATCATCGTCCGATTATTCTCTTAAATGGTATTCCCCCTCGAGATCCAAACAATACTAGACCGTTCCGGTTCATGGCATCTTGGTTGACTTGTGAATCCTTTCAAGGCATTATTAACAACTGCTGGGGGGAAGTTGCGGTCTGGAGGGTAGCTTGTGAAAAGTTTAAAAAAGAAGCTTCAAAGTGGCACAATGAGACGTACAAGGAAGCAAATCGTAGGAAGTTTAAGCTGCATGCTAGACTTAAAGGCATTGATGAGAGGCTTAGCAGGTATCATGACTCATACTTAGAAGATATTCAGAGCAACCTTTGGAAGGAGTTAAATGAAATTTACTTACGTGAGGAAATCCTTTGGTTCCAAAGATCGAGATGTAAATGGCACAAATTTGGGGATAGAAATTCGAAATTCTTCCACTCCACAACAGTAGCAAGACGAAGAGCAAATAGAATTGATTCCTTGAAGGATAGCAATGGTAACTGGATGGGTGAACTGAAACTTCTGGAAAATATGATTTCTAGCTACTTTGAAAACCTGTATTCTGAGGAGGTTACTTGCAAACCTGCTTTTCCTGTGAAAGGGTCCTTCTCCAAGCTTAGAAACCAAAGCCTCAAGAGGCTTATGGCCATGCCTACGGTTGAGGAAATTAAAAAAGTGGTGTTTCCATTTGGTAGCTATAAATCTCCAGGAGCTGATGGTCTTAATGCACTCTTTTTCCAAACTCAGTGGGACAAGGTGGGCAAGACTGTCTGCGAGGTGGTGAAAGAAGCCTTTATTAATCATGGCAGTGTTAGTACTATCAACCAGACCCTCCTATGTCTGATACCAAAGGTTGATTGCTCTGAATCTGTGAGACAACTCCGGCCTATCAGTCTTTGTAATGTAATCTACAAAATCATTACAAAGCTGATATCAAATAGGCTAAGGAACCACATGAACATGCCGAACCAATGCAGCTTTGTGAAAGGGAGGCATAGCTCTGATAATATAATAATTTCCCAAGAAATCATCAAATCTATAAGATCCAAGAAAGGAAAAAAGGGTTGGATGGCCATTAAAGTTGATTTGGAAAAAGCTTAGGACAAACTTGGATGGATTTCATTCTTGATACCCTCCAGGAAATCGAGCTTCTGGTGCCTCTAATAAGCATTATTATGAGCTGTGTGTCAACCTGTACAATGAATGTGTTGTGGAATTGAGCAACTACAAGAGAATTCAAACCGACTAGAGGAGTAAGACAAGGTGATCCTCTATCACCTTATCTTTTTGTCCTCTGTATAGAGCGGCTTGCCCACCTAATCAGCATGGCGAAGGAACAAAAAGAGTGGAAACCAGTGGTCTTAAGGAAGAATGTTCCTCCGATCTCCCACCTATTTTTTGCTGATGACCTTCTGTTGTTTGGGGAGGCGTCTTTGAAGCAAGCTAGGATCATGAAGAAAATTCTCAACTGTTTCTGTGACTGCTCTGGTCAAAGCATTAGTGCTGCGAAGACTAGAGTTTTCATGTCAAAAAATGTAAACCACAACCATGCTACTGAACTGAGTAATGAGTTGGGGTTTGGCCTAACTAGTGAACTGGGTAAATATCTAGGTATTAACCTTCATCATAAGAGAGCTACAAAAGGTAGCTTCAGTCACATCATGGAGAGAGTGAACCGGAAGTTAGAGTCTTGGAAGAAAAGAACTTTATCTCTGGCTGGCAGGATTGTGCTTGCTCAATCAGTGCTCTCTACTCTTCCAATGTATGCCATGCAAACAAACCTCCTACCCCTTGGAACTTGTGATGAGATTGAAAAGACCACTCGAAGTTTCTTGTGGAATTCAGGGAACAAGGAGA